TCCTCCTCCTCCTCCTCCTCCTCCTACTCCTCCTCCTCCTCCTCCTCCTCCTCCCGGCTGATTCCGATTCCATTCGATTCGATTCGATGTCGATAGTTTCCGATGCCGATTCGCTTCGATTCGGGATTCCGATCTGGGTTCCGATGTTTTTTGCTGGAGGCAAACAAGCCTGCCGATTTCCGCCGATTCGTTGTTTCCCGACTCGGCTGCCGATTTCCGCCGATCCGATTCATTTCGATCGCCGATCCGACTTAGCGATTCGATTCTGGGCTCTCCTGGAGTTCTCTCCGCTCCACCACTCCGTTGCATCGTGGACAGCTGTCCCGCTGATGTTAAACATTGATCATCCCCATCCTTCCTCATCTTTCTCCTCTTCCTCGTGCTCATCCTACTGTTCATCCGCCACCTCGTGCGTACAAACTACCTCCCACGTGTGTCCGTGCATCACACGATGTGGTCGGGAATGGATTTTCTTCAGGGGGCACCACTTGGCGGATACAACATATTCTAGCGCAGAGAGAAGGGATGGGTGGGAGGGATCCGATGTCAGATGTGGCACGAACGCACCTAGCTTGCTTCCCTCCCCATTCCTCTCCCATCTTCCCTTCCCTACCGTCCTCCTTCCCGTTTCTTCACTGGCCTCCATTATTTATCTTTTGCTCTCCTTTTTCGTCAGCTCCCGCCAACCAATAATGCTTTACCCGATGGCCCGCAAGGCGCACGTGCCCACCAGACTCGAATGGCTTACGCGATATCCGCCGGCCCTTCTGGTAAACATTCCCAGACATCAGCTCGATTTGTTCGAGACACGGGCCCCCCACCTCCCGGCCACTCCCCCGGGGCTGCGGTGCTTCAGCCCGGGTCGGTCTTTGCCGGTCCCGAGGCCCGGCGAGGGCCCCGAGAGGCCGAAGACGACAGCAAGCCCCCGCCTCGATGTTTGTTCGGGGACGCCCGGTGTCTGGGCCCGTCTCCTGCCAGCACCCCCGGGGCGTGGGGGGGGGCCCCGGGGCGGCGGGGGCCCGAGGGCGAGGGGGGCCCCTGCGTGCTGCGGGCTCCGCCCGCGGGCCTCTCTCCCCTCCTCGGGGGGGCCCCCGCCCTCCAGGCCCCACCCTTCGGGGACGGCCAGGGCCCCCTCGCTGGTAGCGATCTGGGGCCTCTCCTTGGGCGCTCTGGTGAACTTCTCGGGGGCCCTGGGGCCCTAATGACATCGCGAGACCTCCCCAGAGATGCAGGCCCCCCGAGGGACCTCCGCAGTCGACCCGCATGGTAAGGATGGGCAACCTTCCCAAGGGTACCCTTGCATCCTTGCCTCTTCGGTCCATCCTTCGCCACTTTCGTTAGCCGCGCCCCGCTCGAAAAGCCTCGATAGAGCCTCGTTGGCCGCGTCCCGCTCGAAAAGCCTCGAAGGGCCTCGATAGGGCCCTTGCACCCTTGATCGCGCATCCTTCTGATACGGGTCGACTGTGCTCCCGTCGCAGGTGGCCCTCGCGGACCCGAGTGACCCTCGCGGACCCGGGGCCGGCAGCGCCGTGGCCGTCGAGCGTTGTGCACAGCATCGGGGGTGCAACGGTTCGGGGGGTGGACAGAAGCCCCATCCTGACACGTCGATTGGTGAATTGTCCGTTTGCGTTTCTCGAGGGGGCGCCGCGGCCGTCCTTTTCCAGGCTTGCGCCCGCCAGCTTTGGACCCGAGGTCGTCTTCACTGAGCCAGTGGCTCAGTGAAGACGAGGAGGAGGAGGAGGAGGAGGAGGAGGAGGAGAGGAGGAGGAGGAGGAGGAGGAGGAGGAGGACGAGGAGGAGGAGGAGGAGGAGGAGGAGGAGGAGGAGAAGGAGGAGGCGGAGGAGGAGGAGTGAAGGTGAAGGTCGTCGTCCATCCCCGATTGCTTCTGCCTCCAACGCCGCCCCCTGGGGCGCTCCGCGCGCTCGGGAGGGGGGGGTCCAGCGCCGATCCAAGCGACCCGCGCGGGGCGGCCTCCGAAAGGTCATGTTTATGTTAGAGTCGGGCGTGCCCCTCTGCAGGAGGAACATCCAAGCATAGTAAAAACATGCATAGGGGACGACTCTTTGTTTACACTATGTTTTGATTATGTTCGAGCATTCGTTGCTTAGATTTAGTTTCCTACGCGGGGCCCTGGCCGTCCCCGAAGGGTGGGGCCTGGAGGGCGGGGGCCCCCCCAAGGAGGGGAGAGAGGCCCGCGGGCGGAGCCCGCAGCGCGCAGGGGCCCCCCTCGCCCTCGGGCCCCCGCCGCCCCGGGGCCCCCCCCCACGCCCCGGGGGTGCTGGCAGGAGACGGGCCCAGACACCGGGCGTCCCCGAACAAACATCGAGGCAGGGGCTTGCTGTCGTCTTCGGCCTCTCGGGGCCCTCGCCGGGCCTCGGGACCGGCAAAGACCGACCCGGGCTGAAGCACCGCAGCCCCGGGGGAGTGGCCGGGAGGTGGGGGGCCCGTGTCTCGAACAAATCGAGACGTCGGATGTTTGGGGCTTGTTCCGGGAGATAGGTTCCCCGCGAGGACGGCAGGTTTTGACTGCGCTGCTTGCTGCTGTTTCTGTCTGCCTCCAGGGGCCTTTGGTTGGTACCGTTTATCCAATCCCCATCCCCGTCCCCATCCCCTTCGAGACCCCCATCAAATTACCACCCCAGTTGGGGATACACCCCTCGAAACCCGAAGTGAACGGCCTATATCCTGATCTAGGGAGATAAATCGGCCAGTGGGGCCCAGGCCACGCCGCTGGGGATGGGGATCGGTTAAACGATGCTCATTGCTGCTGTCTTTGTCTGCCTCCAGGGGCCCTTTGGGGGCCTCTGGAGACCTCCAGGCCTCGCTGGTCCGCGGGGGCGCTGTAGTCCCTGGAGCCAGCGGGGGGTCGCGTCGGATCCACCGCCAGAGGAGGGCGAGACCGTGCCGAGAAAGCGCCGGGAGAACCTGCGTTACCGTCAGCACGCATGGCAAAGGCTCCCCAGAGATCCAACGCATTGGAAAAATCAAGACGGAGGTTGTTCCCAATTCTTGGCCTCTCGGGGCCCTCGCCGGGCCTCGGGACCGTCAAAAAACGACTCAGGACGAAGAACTGGTCCCGGGGAAAGGGTCGGGACCCGTGGGGACGCCGTCCTGAAATAATCAGGACGTCGCATGGTTTTGGAGCTGGGCCTCGAGACAGTCGCGAGCGTTGTCTACTGAGCACACGTCTGCTGGTCGGGGGAGTACGGGAGCGCGTGCTCGCACCCACCGCATCGCACGGTCGGGCATGAGGAAGGAAAGGACGAGGGGAAGGAGTCTCGAGGTTCCTTGGGCGTTGTCGGCCTCGCGGAGTCGGTCCTCGGCCCTGAGACCGACGACCCGGGATGACAGTGTGGTCTCGGGTGAAGCTCCGAGTGGTTCAGGACTTGCTTCTTTGAGGACACGTTCCTTTCCGGCATGAGCGACGCAACAAAACAGGATCGTTTGCGCCGACTTGAGCGCGTGAGTTGCCCGCGTTAGGTCGCGCGTAAACGCCCTCGTGTCCAATGTAGCATGCCGCGCTGGCGGCCCGCGCAAGCCGCCGCGTAAGATCTCGATGTCTTCTCGCGTAAGACGCGTTTCTTTTCGTCGCTCACATGAGAGACATCGAATTTGGGCGGAGCGATCGTACATTGGCGGTGGGATCGTTGCTGGACTGGGGTCCTTCGCCGCGGCTTCTTGCCGTCTTGTCATCGCCGTCGCCCAAAGACCCGCCTCGCGGCCCACCGTGGACCAGTCTTCGACTCCGACCCGCGGCCCCTTCTCGCGGAGGGTCGTGCAACTTCTCGTGCACGGCAGGCTCCATATTTGCAGTGGAGGGCCGTCGCATGCCATCAAATGCCATGTGCTGCAGTGTGCTGCAGGAAACGTTGACGACCAAGCAGAGCAAGTTTGGATCCACGTGCGAGCTGTCTGAGGCGATGATGAAGAAGGTGATGAAGAGCGGGGTCGTGGAGATGATCCTCGACTGGGTGAGGGCCAAGCAGAAAGTTGACATGTCCCGTCAGCTGAGGGGGGTGACTAAGAACACCACCCGCGTGATGGGCATTCCCAAGCTCGAGGATGCCAACGACGCTGGCGGGCGCAATTCTGCTGACTGCACCTTGATCCTGACCGAGGGTGACTCCGCCAAGTCCCTTGCGGTGGCAGGGCTAAGCGTGATTGGGCGAGATAAGTACGGAGTCTTCCCGTTGAAGGGGAAGGTTCTCAACGTGAGAGACGCGAATTTCAAACAGGTCACAGGAAACACCGAGATACAGAATCTGCTTAAGATCGTAGGCCTCGATCTCAAGCGACAGTACGACTCTGTCCACGGCCTCCGCTATGGATCCATTATGGTGATGACGGATCAGGATCACGACGGCTCTCATATCAAGGGGCTCCTGATCAACCTCATCCACTTCTGGTGGCCATCGCTTGCCAAAATGGACGGTTTCCTGAAGCAGTTCATCACGCCCATTGTCAAGGTCAAGGCTGGACCTAAACGCTGTTGTGCTGGACTTTGGCTGTGTTTTGCTCTTAGTTTTGGCAGGGAGGTACAGGAAAACAGGTCGAGCAAAACCAACCACAAAACGAAACTCAACGTTTAGGTCCAGCCCTGTGTCAAGGTCTGGAAGGATGGCAAGAAGGACGGTGAGCGCCGGGAAGAGACCTCCTTCTTCACGATGGACGAGTACGAAAAGTGGAAGCAGCAGACGGGCAACGCGAGGGCCTGGAAGTCAAAGTATTACAAAGGCTTGGGCACAAGCACCGTGAACGGAGGAGGAGGAGGAGGAGGAGGAGGAGGAGGAGGAGGAGGAGGAGGAGGAGGAGGGAGGAGGAGGAGGAGGGAGGAGAAGGAGGAGGAGAAGGAGGAGGAGGGGGAGGAGGAGGAGGAAGAGGAGGAGGAGGGATACATTACAAAGGCTTGGGCACAAGCACCATGAAAGAGGCCAAGGAGTACTTTAGAGACATCGAGCAGCACGAGAAGCGCTTCCGGTGGATTGGCGACCGCGACGGGGAGTCGATCGATCTGGCTTTCAACAAGAAGCGGGCGGACGACCGCAAGAATTGGATCAACGCGTACGAGGATGGCACGAACGTGGACCATTCGAAAAGCGTTGTCGGTTACTCCGACTTCATTCACAAGGAGCTGGTCCAGTTCGCCAAGTACGACGTCTCCAGGTCGGTTCCCTCTGTGGTTGACGGCTTCAAGCCGTCGCAGCGGAAGGTGATATTTTGCGCATTCAAGAAGAAGCTCAGGAACGATATCAAGGTGGCGCAGTTCGTGGGATACATATCCGAGCAGTCCGCTTATCACCATGGCGAGGCCTCCCTTGAGAATACCATCGTGAACCTCGCCCAGACCTTCGTCGGTTCCAACAACGCCAACCTACTGGTGCCGTCAGGGCAGTTCGGCACACGGCTCCAAGGCGGAAAGGACCATGCCGCAGCACGGTACATCTACACCCGCCTGCACGGTGCCACGAGGTCGTTCTTCCACCCGGACGATGACCATGTCTTGGACTACCTCAACGAGGAGGGGCTGTCCATCGAACCAAAGTGGTATTGCCCCGTGCTGCCTACGGTCCTCATGAACGGCGCAGACGGCATCGGCGTCGGGTGGAGCACGTTCATCCCCAACCACAATCCGCGCGACCTCATTAGAAATCTGCGCCGGATGCTCCGCGGCATGCCCATGGAAGAGATGCACCCCTGGTACAAGGGGTTCACGGGCCAGATCCTGCCGAGCCAGAAGGAGTCGGGCAAGTACGAGGTTTATGATGTCCCAACCTACTCTAGCCTTGACCACAAGAAAGAATTTCGAGCACCAAGAAATGACCGAAATTGGAGGGTATTCCCGTGTCGGGCCCTGGGAGGCGACACTCGTTCGACACCGTTTCGATATTGTCCAGGGTGCTCGAAATCATTTCTGGGATGTGGTCCTTAAGTGCGACTGGAGCAACACAACACGAGGTCACGGGAGTTGCCCACAAGCTCAGCGACACCACCGTGGAGGTCACGGAGTTGCCCGTGAAGACGTGGACCCAGAGCTACAAGGAGTTTTTGGAGGAGCTGATGCCGCAGGACGGCAAGAAGCCCTCGGACGATGACGATGCTGGTGGCCACACGATCGAGGAATTCCGCGAGCACCACACCGAGTCCACCGTGCACTTCGTGCTGACATTGACGCCCGCCAAGATGCGGGAGGCGGAGAAGGCTGGCTTTGAGAAAACGTTTAAATTGAAGACCTCCATCGCCACCTCGAATATGGTGCTCTTTGACGCGGGCGGCAAGATCTCCAAGTACAGTTCCGCGCTGGACATTTTGAAGGAGTTCTGCCAGGTGCGGCACCAGATGTACCTGAGGCGCAAGGGGTACCTTGAGGCCCGACTCACCCGCGAGAAAGAGATCCTTAGCAACAAGGCCCGCTTCATCCTCATGGTGGTGAAGGGGGAGCTCGAGCTGCGAAAGAAGAAGAAGCAGGACCTCCTGCGCGAGCTCCGGCAGCTGGGCTTCACGCCCATGAGCCAGCTCGACGCCATCATGAAAGGAAAGGGAGGCTCAGGAGGGAAAAACACATGGACACAATTCATCTTCGACTCCCCGGTAAATATAGGAAAATATGGGAAGTGGGGGGGACGACGAAAACCCCAAACATGCATCGAGATATGGGGTCTCCTGGGATTTGTGTGTATCCACTTGTGTGTCCCTGGGCCACTTCACAGGCGCTGGCCAGTCCGACGCGCCTCCAGCGGACGGCACCGCGCGGGCGGCGGGCGCCGCCGACGACGAGCCGGCGGACGACGGCGAGAGGGACGAGAAGAAGTCCGAGTACGACTACCTGCTCGGCATTCGAAGGAGGAAACAAACAATGTTTGCTTCCTCAGGAAGCAAAAATGGGTCCCCGTCGGGCGGGGCCAGGACGAGGAAAGCGCATTCGAGGGAGGGGGTCGAAGAAGGAAAAACGCCATGAACTGAAACTTTTGGCGCTCCGCGCGGATTTTTCTTGGATCCGCCCTGGGCCCCCCCGGCGGCGCCTTTGGCGCCGCCCCTGGCACACTCCGCGCGCCAGGGAGGGGGGTCCAGCGCGGATCCAGGAAATCCGCGCGGAGCGCCAAGCGTTTATGTTTATTTTGTTCTTTCTTGTTCTAGGCATGAACCTCTGGAGCCTCACGTTCGAGCGCGTGGAGGAGATCAAGAAGCAGCTGGAGGCCATCAGGGGCAGCGTTACGGGGGGGAGAGGCTCAGGGGGGCACGCAGCGACGTCCGATCGGCCACTGGTCGCCGATCGGGGCCCGACAGCCAACCCCGCCCAGGACCGTGTGGACTTGCTACTGGGGGCCGATCGCCGATCTGTCGGCGATGCATCACCGATACCAGGTCGGTCGATGTCCCCCCCCCTCCAGCCTGTTTCTCCCCTGGCGTTTCTGGCAACACCCGAGGCGACGAGGACGAGGAGGAGGAGGAGGAGGAGGAGGAGGAGGAGGAGAGGAGGAGGAGGAGGAGGAGGAGGAGGAGGAGGAGAGGAGGAGGGGAGGAGGAGGCGGAGGAGGAGGAGGAGGAGGAGGGAGGAGGAGGAGGAGGAGGAGGAGGAGGAGGAGGAGGGAGGAGGAGGAGGAGAGGAGGAGGAGGAGGAGGAGGAGGAGGAGGATGAAGCCCCCGCAGGCCAAGAAGGAGGAGCTGCGTGTCTTGCAGGAGACCACGATCGAGCAGATCTGGGACGGGGACCTGCAGGCTCGGGCGGCCGGCAGCAGGGGGGCAGACCTCCTCCAGCTCCTCCTCTCCTCCCTCCTCCTCCTCCTCCCTCCTCCTCCTCCTCCTCCTCCTCCTCCTCCTCCTCGTCCTCCTCGTCCTCCTTCTCCTCCTCCTCCTCTCGGCCTCCCTCTCCTCCCTCCTCCTCCTCCTCCTCCTCCTCCTCCTCCTCCTCCTCCTCCTCCCCTCCTCTGCGTGTGGTGGGACCGGGGGTTGCACAGGACACTGGCCCTAGAGGGGCCTTCTAGGACGGCTCCCGAGCTGCCTCCGTGGGTCCAAGAGGTGCGCGAACCCAGGCATCTGGCTGCTCCCTGTTTTCCGATGCGTGGGCTCTGTCGAGGTCTGGACCACTTCCCGGGGGGAGGTCTTTCGTGCTGAGTCTAGGGGGTCGAAGAATGACTTAACATAAAATCTCGGAGGTCCGCGCGGATTTATCGGATCGGCGCTGGACTCCCTTGGCGGCGCCTCCGGCGCCGCCCGGATCCAGGAAATCCGCGCGGAGCGCCAAGCGTTTATGTTTATGTTTTTTGTTTCTTGTTCTAGGCATGAACCGCTGGACCCCCCTGGCGCGCGGAGCGCGCCAGGGGCAGCGCCGGAGGCGCCGCCAGGGGAGTCCAGCGCCGATCCGAGAAATCCGCGCGGACCTCCGAGTTTTTATGTTTATGTAATTTGTCGTTCCTCTAGCTGAGTCGTCTTTTGATTTTCTCGAGGCCCAGCGAGGGCCCCCGGAGGCCGAAATCAGCCCAAATCCGCCCGCTCCAACGTTTCTGGAGCGTCGGATCTCTGGGGAGGGTGCACGTTTCTTCACTTCACGTGTAAGCCCCCCCCCCCCGGTTGACGAACACCCGACAGGCGTTGTCGGCTGCCTTGGACGAGGTGGACGCGCAGGAGCAGGAGCCAGCCGCGCGCAGAGGGGGGTTGGTGGAGGGACGGGAGGCTTCTTGGAGGCACCCCTGGTCTCTCTTCTGTTCTCCTACAGCATAAGCTGCACAGCCTCCTGCCAAGCTGACAATTTGAGGGGGCGGTCTGTCCCTGGAGCCGACCCTGGGGACGGCCTCCCCCTGCGTTCGGGGGGGGGAGGCGGCGGTTCCCAAGGGGGCGCCTCTTGGCGCGGTCCTGCTGTGCAGGCCGAGGGGGGGCCGCCCCTCCTTATTCGCGGGGTAGCGATGGAGCATGCTCCGCTACAGTCAACCCGCACAGTGAGGATGGGCAACCTTCCCAATGGTCCTTGGCTATTTTCGTTGGCCGCGCCCCTCCCGAAGAGCTTCGAAGTGGCCCTCCGAAGCCTTGGCGCTGTCACCGTGCGTCCTCATCGCACGGGCTGACTGTATACATGTCCCAATTCCCTGCTACGAAGACTCCCCCACTGCCCAACTCCTCCCAGACATCCGACGTCTCGACTTGTTCGAGACACGGGCCCACGACCTCCCGACCGCTTCCCCGCGACGGATTTGTCATCCCGAGTCGTTTCTGTTACGGCCCCGAGGCTGGGTGAGGGCCCTGAGGCTCGATCTTTTCCGAGACGCCCGATGAGCTTGATGGTTGTTTGTGATGGTGTGTACATATACACATACATACATAATGCATACGTACATACATATTTGTACATGAATACTTACAACACATGTGTACTTAGTTCTGTGCATATAAATGTGTGTGGATATAGCACATAATTGTGCAGATGCGTATACATATGTATCATGTAACACCGTTTGGTGCGCGCCCCCCGACAGGAGGAGGCCGCCCAGGGCGCGGCGGCCGCCGCCTCTGGAGCCAAGCGGCGGCGGGGCGCGGCGGGCAGGGCCGCCGCCCCCGCGCCGCCCCCGCCGGCGCCCGCCTCGGGAAGCCAAAATCACACACGGACACAATTCATCGTCGACCCCCAGGAAAATAGGGGAGAATCTGGGAAGTGGGGGGGAAGACGAAAGTCCCCAAAATACTGCAAAATATTGGGTATCCTGGGTTCCTGGGGCTCCCGCTTCGGGATCGGGAATAGCCGGGACCCCGGGTGAGGGAACCCGGTTAGTGGTAGGGCCTTGGGGCCCCTCAATTCGCCAGATTCACTAAACCAGGTTTGCCGTAACTGGTGTTTTTCGGATGACGGCAGTTTTGGTTAGTGGAAATGGGGCGGGGGGGCGCCCCCAGTACAAATCACTAAACCAGGTTCCACTAAACCCAGTTCTGCGTTGGATCCTTGGGTTCCTGAGGAACCCAGGGATCCAACGCAGCGAAAAAAACATCAAGACGTTTTTTTCTAAGTTTTTGGCCTCTGGGGGCCCTCGCCAAGCCCCGGGACCGTCAAAAAACGATTCGGGATGAAAAATTTGCCCTGGGGAAGGGTCGAGACTTCCGGGGACCCCGCATTGAAAAAATCACGTCATCGGATCTCTGCGAAGCAACAATGGGTCCCCGTCGGGCGGGGCCAGGACAAAGGAAAATCCATTCGAGGGAGGGGGTCGAAGGAGGAGAACCGCCATGAACAGAAACTTTCGGCGCTCTGCGCGAATTTCTTGGATCCGCGCTGCCCCCCCCCGGCGGCGCCTCCAGTGCCGCCCCTGGCGCGCTCCGCGCGCCAGGGAGTGGGGTCCAGCGCAAATCCAAGAAATCCGCGCGGAGCGCCAAAAGCTTGCGTTTATGGCGTTATTTCTTTTTCTGATGAAGCAAGCGGGGCCCCGTCGGGCAGGGCCAGGATGAGGAGAGATCCGTTCGAGGGAGGGAGGACGCCCAGACATCGGGCGTTTCGAAAAAATCGAGACGTCGGTTTTTCGCACTTTTGGGCCTCTCGGTGCCCTCGCCGGGCCTCGAGGCCGTCAACAAGACGACGCGGGGTGAAGAACCGGCCCAGGGCAACTGGTCGGGAGGTCGGGGGCCCGTGTCTCGAACAAATCGAGGCGTCGGATGTCCGTGTCCCCGTCGGGCGGGGCCAGGACGAAGAGAAATCCGTTCGAGGGAGGGTGGAGGGCGGGAGGATGCAGGGAGGCTGGAGGGAGGGAGGATTAGCCACGCGCAGAGGGGGGTGGGGGGAGGGGGGAGGGCTTCTTAGAAGCACCCCTGGTTCTTAGAAGGCGCGGGCCGTATCTATAGATGTAAGGCCGGCGCCTTCCAAGAAGCAGCTCCCTTCTAAGAAGCCCTCCCCCCCCCTCCCTCCACCCCCTTGTGCGCGCCGCCAAGAGGAGGGAGGGAGGAGGGAGGCCCAAAGGCTGCCCAGGGGCCCCAGACCCCGAAATTGAAGAATAAGCACATGCTGGATGCCTGGTCGGACGGGGCTCGGACGAGGAATAGATCCGTTCCAGAAAGTTCTAGAACGCTCTCAGTGCTTTCCAAAACGCCCTGTGCGTTGTGGGATCCCTTGTGCGCTCCGCCAACCATGGGCGAGGGGGACGTGTGCCACCCAGGGGTCCAGGTGGCCCATCTCTCACAGGAGCCGCCTCCTCCCTCAAGGGCGATAACCAACAGTCAAGGTTAAGTCTGCCCTGTCCCTCTATAGGTGGAAGATTCAAAAATACTCAAATTATCACAGTGCGACCCTACCTAGGAGTTGGAGCCTCTAGGAAAGCAACATTAGTAGGAGCGGTAAACGCCGTCCTCCTCCTTCTCCTCATCGTCGTTGTTGTAGCAGTAGCGGTAGTAGTAGTAGTAGTAGTAGTAGTAGTAGTAGTAGTAGTAGTAGTAGTAGTAGTAGTAGTAGTAGTAGTAGTAGTAGTAGTAGTAGTAGTAGTAGTAGTAGTAGTAGTAGTAGTAGTAGTAGTAGTAGTAGTAGTAGTAGTAGTAGTAGTAGTAGTAGTAGTAGTAGTAGTAGTAGTAGTAGTAGTAGTAGTAGTAGTAGTAGTAGTAGTAGCGCCAGAACCGCCGACGCCACGCCGTAAGTGAAGCAGCAGCAGACGCAGGCAGCAAGTCGCCGAGACAGCAGCAAAAGCAAGCAGGCACGGAGATGAGGGCGGGGCACTGGGGAGTTCTTTACATCTACATCTATATCTACACCTACATCTACATCGACACCTACATCTACATCTACACCTATAGCTACATCTACATCTACACCTGCATCTACATCTACATCTTCATCAACAGCGAGACTCACATCTACATCTACATCTACACCTACACCTACATCTACACCTACATCTACATACACCTACATTCACATCTACACCTACACCTACATCTACATAAACACCTACACTTTCGCATTGGTTTTGGTTTTGCTTTGCATTGCCTTTGCTTTTGCTATTGCCTTTGCTTTTGCCTTTGCTTTTGCTGTTGCTGTTGCTTTTGCTTTGCTTTTATTTTTGCTTTGCTTGATTTTGCGTTTGCTCTGCCTGCGCACAGACACACACACACAGGCATGTTTCTGCATTCGCTCACCGGGTGTGCTTGAGAATGCTCCGGATCCGGCCTACACCGCACGACTTGGCATTGAGCAAGGTTGTGCAACACTTGCTGCACCGAACGTTCTTACGAAACTGTACAGCAGCCCCACTAAGGGCTCAAGATGCCCCACGAAGGGTTCAAGATGGCCCACAGACGGACAACATGCATGGAACATACGTGCGCACACACATATATAAGTACATATATATATAGCAGCAACAGCAATAGTGGATGCTGTGCTGCGCTATGCTATGCTATGTTATGATATGCTATGCTACGCTGCGCAATGATATGCTGGGCTAGGCTAGGCTAGGCTAGGCTAGGCTGTGCTATGCTATGCTATGCTGCGCTATGCTTGATATGCTGTGCTATGCTATGCTTTTGCGTTGCCTTCGCTTTTGCCTTCACTTTTGCCTTTGCTTTTGCTTTTGCTTGGCACCCAGGGAGCGCAACTGGGGGAACCGCGCGTTTGCGTTTGCCGTTGTTGTTGCTCTTGCTTGGCTCCCAGGGGACCGGGGGAACCGGCGGCGGGTTCCACTGCCCGGCCCCTTTAAGCAAAGAAAGTAAGAACTTTTTCAGGCAGAGCCTAGGTAGGGACAAATAATCTGGGAACTATTGTTTGACCATCTTTGAGCAGTTTAATTGTATTTTTTGATATTTTTAATTTTTCGTCCAAAATCGGCCTGTATGGGGCACGGGCCCGACTTAAAGTCAAGTTCGAAAACAAGCTCGGCTCAAGTGCGGCGCACAGGCAAAACTCACAACAAGGACGCAAGGATGCCATTCGGGTGCCCGTGCGTCCTTGCCTCTGCGGCCCGTCCTTCGCGGTTTTCGCTGGCCAGCCCTTCGGGGAGTTGGCGGCCCGCCGCCGCCAAAAGTGCCGACTTCGGGGCCCAAGACACTTGCGTCCTCACCGCCCGTCCTTGCTTAATGTCCATTGTAAAACTCGAATGAGGGATTGACTACAGAATTGATTCGCCACAGAACTGTTCGTTTCCTCCGAATCCATGGACAATGCGCAGAACTGTGGTAGCTTCGAAAATCACATGTCTTCGTCTATAGATTCGACGTCAACATCGCTTTGGTGGCACATCAATCCTGTAGTCGATCCCCTGCTCGAAGAGCAGCTCGCCCTCGTTTTGTCGCCGCGCTGGAGTTAAGTCGGGCGTGTCCCTCTGCAGGAGGCATATTCAAAAATAATCAAAAACTGCTTCGGGGACGATCTGTGCTACTACACATTTTGTTGTTGTTGTTTGATATTTGCTGACTCTGTCTTACCTGTCCTGCAGAATCCCCCTGTGGGAGGACATGCCCGACCTAACGCTGGCGCCGAGTTTTTGGCGGTGCCCTCCTCCCGCCCTGGGCCTACGTCGGGCATGTCCCTCTGCAGGAGAAAGATACAACAGTAATCCAACCACAGTATGGGGCACGTTGTGTGAGCATTTGTTTACATCGTTTTTGATTACGTTTCATGTTTCGTCCAAAAATCCGTCTATCGGAGGACGGGCCCGGCCTAAGCCCGGGCCGCAGAGGCTCCCCGCGGCCGCCCCGCGGCCCCCCCGCCGGACGAGTCCTTCCTGCGCCGCCCGCTCGTGCCCGTGGACCCGCGGCAGCTGGCCCAGGGCGTCGAGAAGACGGCCTCCCCGGGCGGCTCAAAGACGGGGCGGAGGAGGGGGAGGAGGAGGAGGAGGAGGAGGAGGAGGAGGAGGAGGAGGAGGAGGAGGAGGAGGAGGAGGAGGAGGAGGAGGAGGAGGAGAGGAGGAGGAGGAGGAGGAGGAGGAGGGAGGAGGAGGAGGAGGAGGAGGAGGAGGAGGAGGAGGAGGAGGAGGAGGAGGAGGAGAGGAGGAGGAGGAGGAGGAGGAGGAGGAGGAGGAGGAGGAGGAGGAGGAGGAGGAGGAGGAGGAGGCGGAGGAGGAGGAGGAGGAGGAGGGGGGTGGGGGCCCCTGAGGGTGTTCCGGGATGGGGGCCAGGGCGTCGAGAAGACGGCGTCCCCGGGCGGCTCAAAGACGGGGCCCCTGAGGGGGATTCGGGGATGTCAGAGGCGACGATAGGGGCGAACAGCCCAGGGGAGAGCAATCCATGTATTCAGGGGCGCCGATGATCTATGTCTTCGACAAGGCTCCCGGGCGAATACGTGTAATGCCCGCCCCTGGGCTCTTCGCCCTTCTCGCCGCCGCCGAGGATGTGGCCCCCTGACAGGGCTCGTTTCGATTTCTCCGATTCGGTTCGATTCGACTTCGATGGCTTCCAGCGCCGATGCAAGAAATCCGCGCGGGGGACCCAGACCCCCTCGGGTGATTCAAAAATGGTTACGGGAGGTTTTCTGTAAGTTTCGGCCTCTGGGTGCCCTTACCGGGCCTCGGGATGGTCAAGAAACGATTCAGGATGAAAAGCGGGTTTGGGGAAATGGGCCGAGACCTCTCTGGGGTCGACGTCATGATGAACAAGTCGTGACGTCGGGGGTCTGGGGATGGGGCCCCCCTGAGGAGCGACAGATCGGAGACTGGAGCATATGCATTACCAGTGGCGGGCTGCTTTTCAATCCCGGTAATTCTTGATGCTCGGGGACGACGTCGGCGTGGTGTGGCGTATACTTGTTGTTATCCGCTTCCCGGGGCAGCCACGAAAAATGTATAAACGAGGGTCCCGTCTACACCATCATCCGCTTTCCTGTGCAAACTTCAGTGCCGGGCCGGAGAAGGCGTCGGTGTAGAGAGTTCGGTTCCTTAAAGGAAGGACGTGCAAGTGCACGTAGATGAAGCCACGTCGGTTTCGGGAGTACGCACGACGCGAACGTTTGCTGAACGCGGCCGGTCTCGAGGACTGCGGGGCCTGAGCTCGGCAGCGCTCGGGCGTGTGCACTTGTGATCGGCAAGGCCAGGCCGCGATTGTGCTCTTTTGCGTTGTGGATCGAGTCCTCCTCTGCATTCGAGTCCTGACCGAGCTGATCTGGATCTTAAGCTCGAGTTGCCTGAGCATGTAGTAGTTACCCCAGAGCTAACTGACAGGGGGGCATGCCAGGAGGACGCGCCGCGGAACGTCCCAAGGGACGCGCCAGGGGGCTTGCCAGGGGACGTGCCATGGGGACGCACCTCGGGACGTGCCACGGGGACGCGCTACAGAACGTGCCAATGCACGTGCCACGGGACGTGCCAGGGGACGCGCCGCGCGACGTGCCAGGGGGACTCGCCACGGGACGCGCCACGGACAACCAGTTCACTTCAGACATCTTCTGAATTCTGGTCCCCAGGAGAGGAACGATCTATAGCACTAAACAACCGTCTCGCTCGAGACATCCTCAACCAATTCTGAAAAAGCAAGCGTTTCGTTCGAGACATCCTCAAAATTTTAATTCGACGGCCCTACGCGACTACGTTACTCACCGCAAATAATTTCGCCGGCCCTATGCCCGTCGATTCCGGGGTAAACTCCTGAAGCATAATCTTGGGCCCGCGCCTTGTCCAGAGACAAAAGTCAGGACAGGAGGTTTCTGGCCGCCTTCGGCCTCGGGGGGCCCTCGCTGGGCCTCGGGACCGCCAAAGAACGATTCAGGATGGAAAAACCGGTCCCGGGGAAAAGGTCGGAACTTCCAGGGACCCCGCGTTAAAAACATCAGGGCGTCGCATGTCTTGGCAGAGGTCTGGGCCCCTTCCCCGAGGCTGGCTTCTCGTCCCGAGTCGGTTCTGGACGGTCCCGAGGCCTGACGAGGGCCCCCAGAGGCCGAAACCAGCGAAAAACCTCCCCTCGTGCTTTTTTTTCACCGCGCGAGGGGGGCTGGGCCGTCAGGGCCCCGCCCTTGCCCAGACATCGGACGTCCCGATTGTTGTCTCGAGACGTGGGCCCCCGACCTCCCGACCACTTCCCCGAGACCGGTTTTGCATCCCGAGTTGTCTTTTTGTCGGTCCCGAGGCCCGGCGAGGGCCCCCCAGAGGCCGAAAACGACGACGAACCCTCGCTTCGTTTTTGTTCGAGAAGCCCTATTTTTTTCAATGCGGGATCTCTGGAAGTCCCGATCCTTTCCCCAGGACCGGTTCTTCATCCCGAGGCCCGGGAAGGGCCCCAGGAGGCCGAAAATACAGAAAAACCTTCCGTCGTGACTTTTTCGCAGCGCGAGGGGGTTTGGGAGAGCTCTGGACCACTTCCCAGGGCCCCGAGAGGCCGAAAACTATGAAAAACCATCGTCTCGTTTTTTTCGAGGCGCCCGATGTCTGGGTGCACCGCTGACGCGAGCCCAGACATGCGGCGACCTGATTTTCTTCTATATACGGGGTCTCTGGAAGTCCCGACCCGTTCCACGGTACTGGCTTTTCATCCCGAGTCTTTTTTTGACGGTCCCGAGGCCCGGCGAGCCCCCGGAGGCCGAAAATACAGAAAAACCTCCCGTCGCCATTTTTTCCTGACTCGAGGGGGTCTCAGGGCCTGGGCTTGGGCGACAGATCGCGGTGTGCGGTGGGGCCGTGCGGGGCCCCCTCCTCCTCCTCCTCCCTCCTCCTCCTCCTCCTCCTCCTCCTCCTCCTCCTCCTCCTCTCCTCCTCCTCCCTCCTCTCCTCCTCCTCCTCCTCCTCTCCTCTCCTCCTCCTCCTCCTCTCCTCCTCCTCCCTCCTCCTCCTCCTCCTCCTCCTCCTCTCTCCTCCTCCCTCTCCCTCCTCCTCCTCCTCCTCCTCCTCCCTCCTCCCGCGGGCGGGTCTGGGCCCCCGCCCTGGCACCGCCGAGGTCTGGGGCGTCGGCGAGGGCGCGGCCGCCGCCGGGGGCGCCGCGCCGCCGGAGCACCCGGCGCCGCCGCAGCGGCGGCCGCCAAGGCAGCCGGGCTGCCCGGACCCGGCGCGGGACCTGCCCGAGGCCGTTGGGCGTTGCGCAATGGGGAGGTCATCAGCCCAGGCATCCAACGCATTGAAAAAAACAAGGCGGAGGTGTTTCTCAGTGTTTGGCCTCTCGGGGCCCTCGCCGGGCCCCAGGACCTTCAAAAAACGATTCAGGACGAAGAACTGGTCCTTGGGAAAGGGTCGAGACTTCTGGGGACCCCGCCTTGAAAAAATCACGACATCGGATCTTTGGGAATCGGGGAGGGTCGTAATTGGGAGGGTGGCGAGGGTGGTCCGAAAAGGTAACCAAATGGTACCTAAAGGAGCCCGCATTAAGCCACGCCCGAGGCCGCGGCGCCGGCGGGGGAGCCCGTCGGCGGCGCAGGCGGCGGGCTGCTGTCGCGGCTGCTGCAGAAGAAGGTCATCGAAGAAGACTAAGAAGAAGAAGGTCATCAAAGAAGAAGAAATAAGAAGAACAATAATATTAATAAGAACAGAAGAAGAAGAAGAAGAAGAAGGAGAAGAAACGACGGCATATACATAAACGTTTGGCGCTCCGCGCGGACTGCTTGGATCCGCGCTGGGGCCCTCCCCCGGCAGCGCCTCCAGCGCCGCCCCTGGCGCGCTCCGCGCGCCAGGGAGGGAGTCCAGCGCAGATCCAAGAAAAGCCGCGCGGAGCGCCAAAAGTTTATGTTTGTGCCGCGTTTTCTTCTTCTGGGTCAGGCAGCGCTCCCGGATCTCCGGCGATCTGATACTTTGTTGGCCATGCAGGCGTGTTGCCCTGGGTTGGGGCCCTCGAGGACCGGCTGCGGGGCTGTCGGGGGCAGCGCCAAAGCGGGGGATCGGCTGCAGAGGGGGGAAGTGGGGGATGTTCTCATGGGCTCTCGCGCTTTCTCGGCGGTTGTCGAGCCGCGGGATGCTCTCCAGCAGCTGCGGCTCGCCGAGGGCGATCCGGGTGTGCCCGGATCGCCCGAACGGCCGCCAGAGGCCTGAGTTGTGGCCCGAAAAAACCACGGGGGGACGGGGGATAGGCTCAGGGGGAGCGCATCGACCCCCGACCGCCCACTGATCGCCGATATCGGGGCCGGACAGTCCACCCCACCCCAGACCGTGCGGCTTCGCTATCGATGGCCTATCGCCGATGGCTTCCCCCCTGACCCAGACCCCCTCGAGTTATGAAAAAATCATGACGGGAAGTTTTCCTTCATTTTCGGCCTCCGGGGGCCCTCACCGGGCCTCGGGAGCGTCAAAAAACGGCTCAGGATGAAAAGCCGGTCCCGGGGAATGGGTCCGGACCTCTGGGGGTCGCGTCATGAAAAAATCATGACGTCGGGGGTCTGGGGAGCCAGTCCCCCCCCCCGCATCCCAGAGTTATGCTTTGATTTTCCAATACGGCATCCCAAGAGCCCTGGGCCCAGACATCCGACGTTTCGATTTTTTCGAGACACGGGCCCCCGACCTCCCGACCACTTCCCCGGGACCGGCTATTCATCCCGAGTGAATTCTGGCAGCCCACGAGGCCCCTGCTCGAGACATCCCACAATTTTGCAAAACCAGCGTTTCGCCCGAGACATCCTCAACCAATTATGACAAACAAGCGTTTCGCTCGAGACGTCCTGTCAAAATCCAATGAAATCTTAGAAGAAACAAGCGAATTAGCCAAGACATCCTCGAAATTCCCGCGCGCGGGACGCGGCACGCGCGAGACATCCTCGGAATTCCTGCGAGCGGGACGTGAAAACAAACATTTCGCCTGAGCCATCCTTTGAATTCTGGCCCCCTCACGAGGCCCCCGCTCGAGACACCCCCCAATGTTGCAAAACCAGCGTTTCGCCCGAGACATCCTCAACAAATTATTTGTTTTATTTAAAGCGTTTCGCTCGAGACATCCTGTCAAAATCCAAGGACATCCTCGAAAAAAACATTTGAAGTAGTCACGACATCCTCCAAATTCCTGCGCGCGGGACGCGGCACGCGCGAGACATCCTCGGAATTCCTGCGCGCGGCGCGCTTTTCCGCGTCGCAGTCGGGACTCCAGACTTTGGTTTTTGTTTGAGGATATGTTACATGTGCCCCACACAAGAAAACGGTGGTCCGCGGACCCTGTTATCTATCGATGATCCGAGATGGGGTCGAATTTCCTGCGCGCGGGACGCGGCACGCGCGAGACATCCTCGGAATTCCTTCGAGTGGGACGTGAAAACAAGCATTTCGCCTGAGACATTCTTTGAATTCTAGCCCCCCCCGGGCCCCCCAGCGTTTCGCCCGAGACATCCTCAACCAATTATGACAAACAAGCGTTTCGCTCGAGACGTCCTGTCAAAATCCAATGAAATCTTGGAAGAAACAAGCGAATTAGCCAAGACATCCTCAAAATTCCCGCGCGCGGGACGCGGCACGCGCGAGACATCCTCGGAATTCCTGCGCGCGGGGCGCTTTGCCGCGTCGCAGTCGGGGCTCCAGACTTGGGTTTTTGTTTGGGGATCTGCTAAAAATGCTCCGCATTTTATTGTTTACAAAAGAAAACGGTGGTCCGCGGACCCCGTTATTTATTGAGGATCCGAGATGGGGGGTCGACTTTCCTCGAGCGGGCACGCGCGAAACGCATTTTTTCACGCCGAATTTGATTTTATTTCGTTTTTAATCGAAAATAATTCCGCCGGCCCCCTTCCGGGGGGGAATAAACAAACTAAAAAGGAACCGTGGGCCGCCGCCCTTTCCAGGAACAAAAAAACACGATCGACCCACGAAAGCGGAAAGGAATATAGAAATGTAACGCGTGGCAGCGTTTTCAAAGACATTTGATTGGGTGACGGGCAAATGCAATGCTGAGTGTATCGATTTTGATGTACCTTGCCGAGGGCTGTGCTGTGTTGTACCGTGCTGAATTACGATGTGCCATGCCGCGATTGTGCTCGATAGCATCGTGGATCGAGTCCTCCTTTGCATCCGAGTCCTGACCGAACTGATCTGGATCTGAAGCTCGAGCTGCCTGAACGCATAGTAGCTGCCCCAGAGCTAATTGACAGGGGGACATGCCAAGAGGACGCGCCGCGAAACGTCCCAAGGGACGCGCCAGGCGACGCGCCAGGGGACGTGTCATGGGGTCGCACCGCGGGACGTGCCAAGGGGACGCGCTACGGAACGTGCCAATGGATGTGCCAGGGGACGCGCCACGCGACGTGCCAGGGGGACTCGCGAAGGGACGCCCCACGGAACGTGCCAAGGAACATGCTCCAAAATCACGTTGCGCCCCCGCTCCAGCTGTCACGATAAATTACGCTGCGTCCGCATTCCTAGGGCCACGAACCTTAACAATTCACACTGCGCCCGCGCTCCAAGGGCCCCGATCCCTCGTAGATTACACTGGGGTCGCGCTCCCAAGGCCCCGACCCCTTCGTAAATTACGCTGCGCCCGCACTCCGATGGCCACGATCCCAAGTAATTTGCGCTGCGTCCGCGCTCACAGGGCCACGATCCTTTGCAAATTACGCAGGGTCCGCGCTCCCACTGCCGCGATCCCTTGTAAATTACACTGGGGTCGCGCTCCTTTTTTAAAATCCCATTGCAGCTCGGCTGAGGCCAACCGAGGAGCAGACTTCATACTGGAACACGCCGGGGTGACTGACACCAACGACGAGGCTGGATTACATGAGTGCACAAATGCGCAACCGAATCCGTGCGAGGCGCCACCAGCCAGGCAAGCAGCGACACGCGAAAAGCTGCTACCATCCGCCACCGTGCCTTTCACGATCGACCGAGGCAGGAAGTACCAGACTCCAACCAATAGCAGAAATCTGTATCACAAAATGTGCCCGGAGGAGGCCGAGAGGACCTCCCCGCGGTGTGCGGCATCACCAGTGGCGCCCGCGCAAGGCACCAGCCTGGCTGTGCCCCTCCCGAAAGGGAGGGGACCACCGAAGCCACTCCCGCCCCCTGGATGCGCAGCTAGGGCTCACGCTGGCGCCCCTTGCGCCGACGACTGGCCTTGCTGGGTGCCCTCATGCTGATGCTGCGTCCGCGCTCCCAGGGCCACGATCCCCTGTAAATTGCATTGGGATCGCGCTCCCAGGGCCTCGACCCCTTGTAAATTACGCTGCGTCCACGCTCACAGGGCCACGATCCATAGTAAATTACGCTGCGTCCGAGCCCGCAGGGCCCCGATCCCTAGTATTTTACATTGCGCCCGCGCTCCAAGGGCCACGATCCCTAGTAAATCACGCTGCGTCCGAGCTCCCAAGGCCCCGACCCGTGGTAAATTACACTGTGCCCGCGCTCCGAGGGCCACGATCCACAGCAAATGACGCGTGGTCCGCGCTCCAAACGCCACGATCCCTCATACATTACGCCGCGTCCGCGCTCCTAGGGCATCCTGGGGCATGTTGGGGCGCCAAGGCCATTCAAGTTTTGCAAAACAAGCGTTTCGCTCGAGACATCCTCTATGTGTTGGCGCGGGGGGCGCACCATCCTCGAGCGGCCACGCGAAAATTCATGTGTGGCCAAGGAAATGTTTGAACAACCAAAGAATTAGCCGAGACATCCTCCAAATTCCTGCGCGCGGGACGCGGCACGCGCGAGACATCCTCGGAATTCTTGCGAGCGGGACGTGAAAACAAGCATTTCGCTTGAGACATCCTTTGAATTCTGGCACCCCACGAGGCCCCCGCTCGAGACACCCCCCAATGTTGCAAAACCAGCGTTTCGCCCGAGACATCCTCAACAAATTACTTGTTTTATTTAAAGCGTTTCGCTCGAGACACCCTGCAAACATCCAAGGACACCCTCGAAAAAACAACATCTGAATTAGTCACGATATCCTCGAAATTCCTGCGCGCGGGACGCGGCACGCGCGAGATATCCTCGAAATTCCTGCGAGCGGGACGTGAAAACAAGAATCTCGCCCGAGACATCTTCTGAATTCTGCCCTCCCGCGAGGTCCCCGCTCGAGACATCCCCGAATTTTGCGAAACCAGAGTTTCCCCCGAGACATCTTCAACAAATTATGGCAAACAAGCGTTTCGCTCGAGACACCCTGTCAAAATCCAAGAAAATGCTGAAAAACAGTAACAAGCGAATTAGCCGAGGCATCCTCGAAATTCATGCGCGCGGGACGCGGCACGCGCGAGACATCCTCGGAATTCCTGCGCGCGGAGCGTTTTTTCAGCGTCGCGGTCGGGGCTCCAGAGTTCGTTTTTTCTTTAAGGTTTATTAAACATGTCCCGCTTTTTTTACAAAGGAAAACGGTGGTCCGCGGACCCCGTTATTTATCGAGGAACCGAGATGGGGTCGAAATTCTTGCGCGCGGGACGCGGCACGCGCGAGACATCCTCGGAATTCCTGCGAGCGGGACGTGAAAACAAGCATTTCCCCTGAGACATCCTCTGAGTTCTAGCCCCCTCACGAGGCCCCCGTTCGAGACATCCCACAATTTTGCAAAACCATCGTTTCGCCAGAGACATCCTCAACAAATCATGCAACACAAGCGTTTCGCACGAGACATCCTGTCAAAATCCCAGGACATCCTGGCAAAACAAGCGAATTAGCGGAGACATCCTAACAATTCCTACGCGCGGGACGCGGCACGCGCGAGACATCCTCGGAATTCTTGCGAGCGGGAAATGAAAACAAGCATTTCGCCTGAGACATCCTTTGAATTCTGGCCCCGCACGAGGCCTCCGCTCGAGACACCCCCAATTTTGCAAAACCAGCGTTTCGCCCGAGACATCCTCAACAAATTATGAAAAACAAGCGTTTCGCTCGAGACACCCTGCAAACATCCAAGGACATCCTGGAAAAACAAACGAATTAGTTGAGACATCCTCGAAATTCCTGCGCGCGGGACGCGGCACGCGCGAGACATCCTCGGAATTCCTGCGCGCGGGGTGGTTTCCGCGTCGCGGTCGGGGCTCCAGACCTTTGTTTTTTCGAGGCTTTGCTAAAAGTGCTCCGTATTTTATTTCTTACGAAGGAAAACAGTGGTCCGCGGACCCTGTTATTTATCGAGGATCCGAGATGGGGGGTCGACTTTCCTCGAGCGGGCACGCGCGAAACGCATTTTGTTCACGCCGAATTGGGCTTTACTTTGTTTTTTGTCGAGAATAATTCCGCCGGCCCCTTCCAGTCAAAACCGGGGGGTAAACCAACTGAAAGAAAACCCTGGGCCTACGCCCTTTCTGGGAAAAAACGAAACACCACAAAGCAGCACAAGCAATAACATGATCGACCCACGAACCAGGAACGGAATATAGAAATGTAAGGCATGGCAACGTTTCAAAGACACCTGAGTGGGCGACGGGCAAATGCAATGCTAAATGTATCGATCTTGATGTACTGTGCCGATAGCTGTGCTGTGCTACGCCGTGCTGAGCTGCGATGTGCCATGCCGCGATTGTGCTCTCTCTCGCTATCTCTCTCTCTCTCTCTCTATATATATATATACATATATAGCGTTGTGGATCGAGTCCCCGTTGCCACCGAGTCCTGACCGAACTGATCTGGATCTTAAGCTCGAGTTGCCTGAGCAGATGGTAGCTGCCCCAGAGCTAATCGACAGACGTGACATGCCAGGAGGACGCGCCGCGGAACGTCCCAAGGGACGCGCCAGGCGACGTGCTAGGGGACGTGCCATGGGCACGCACCGCGGGACGTGCGAAGGGGGCGCGCTACGGAACGTGCCAATGGACGTGCCGCGGAACGTGCCAGGTGACGCGCCGCGCGACGTGCCAGGTGGACTCGCCACGGAACGCGCCAAGGAGCGTGCCAAGGAGCAATGTTCAGTGAATCGATCTTGATGTACCGTGCCGAAGGTTGTGCTGTGCTGGGCCGTGCTGAACTGCGATGTGCCATGCCGCGATTCCTCGTTGCCACCGAGTCCTGACCGAACTGATCTGGATCGTAAGCTCGAGCTGCCTGAGCAGATGGTAGCTGTTTCAGAGCTAATCGACAGACGTGACATGCCAGGAGGACGCGCCGCGGAACGTCCCAAGGGACGCGCCAGGCGACGTGCCAGGGGACGTGCCATGGGCACGCACCGCAGGACGTGCCAAGGGGACGCGCTACGGAACGTGCCAATGGACGTGCACAGCGCGACGTGCCAGGTGGACCCGCCACGGGACGCTCCGCGGAACGTGCCAGGCAACATGCCAGGCTGCAATGTTAAGGGTATCGATATTGATGTACCGTGCCGAGGGCTGTGCTGTGCCTGGGCGACCTGGGCACGCGAAAACACGCGTTTCGCTCAAGACGTCCTCAGCACATCCTCATGCTAGACAGCCGCCTGGGCGACCTGGACACGTGAAAACAAGCGTCTCGATCGAGACTTCCTCGACACATCCTCATGCTAGACATCCGCCTGGGCGAACTGGACACGTGAAAACAAGCCTCTCGTTCGAGACATCCTCAACAAATCCTCTTGCTAGACATCTGTCTGTGCAACCTGGAGGCGTGAAACCAAGCGTCTCGCTCGAGACATCCTCAAGGCCTGGGCACGTGAAAACTAGCATTTCACCTGAGAGATCCTCTGAATTCAGGTCCTCGGAAGAGAACAATCTATAACACAAAACAAGCGTTTCGCTCGAGACATCCTCAACAAATTCTGAAAACAAGCGTTTCGCTAGGGACATCCTCAACAATAACTCCGCCGGCCCACCTCGACCTCGATATTTATTAGAGAATAATTCCGCCGGCCCACCTCAAGTCAGGTCCGGGGGTAAACAGCTAAAAGAGAACCCTGGGCCTACGCCCTTTCCGGGAAAAAGAATCAACAGCCCACAAATATCATCATTATAAACATACAACCAAAATGACATTACATAATTATCCCAGTGCGACCCTACCTAGGAGTTGGAGCCTCTAGGAAAGCAACATTAGTAGGAGCGGTAAACGTCGTCCTTCTCCTTCTCCTCCTTAGTAGGAGCGGTAGACGCCGTCCTCCGCCGTATGCTCTGCTCTGCTCTGCTCTGCTCTGCTCTGCTCTGCTCTGCTCTGCTCTGCTCTGCTCTGCTCTTCTCTGCTATGCTATGCTATGCTATGCTATGCTATGCTATGCTGCGCAATGCTATGTTGGGCTAGGCTAGGCTAGGCTATGCTATGCTATGCTGCGCTATGCTATACTGCGCTATGCTACGCTATGCTACGCTATGCTATGCTATGCTATGCTTTTGCTTTGCCTTCGCTTTTGCCTTCACTTTCGCCTTTGGTTTTGCGTTTGCTTGGCACCCAGGGAGCGCAATTGGGGGAACCGCGCGTTTGCTTTTACCTTTGCTGTTGCTTTTGCTTGGCTCCCAGGGGACCGGGGGAACCGCCTGGGGCGATTTCCACTGCCCGGCCCCTTTAAGCCAAGCGAGTACGAGCCCTTCTAGGCAGAGCCTAGGTAGGGAAATAGTAGTAGAGCAAAACCAGTGTGTAACAAAAAAACATTGTCCCTCGGCAGGTGCCCAGCGGCGGCGCCGCGTTTCGCTCGAGACATCCTCAACAAATTCTGAAAAACAAACGTTTCGCTAGGGACATCCTCAAAAATAATTCCGCCGGCCCTACTCCCGCACGTAATTCATCGCAGGATAATTTCGCCGGCCCTACAGCCGTCGAAACCGGGGGTAAACCTCTAAAAGAGAACCCTGGGCTCGAGCCCTTTCCGGGAACATTGTCCCTCGGCAGGGGCCCAGCGGCGGCGCCGCCAGCGACGCCGGGCGCGCGCCCCCCGGCGCGCCGCAGGAGGACCTGCTCGCCGCCCTGGGCGGCGGGGCCGCGGCGGGAGGGCCGCGGCCCCACGGCTGCAGGGCCGCGGCCGGCGCCGCGGCCCGAAGGGGGCGCGGCGGAGGCTCGGGCCGCAGGGAACTGCGGCAGTGGCGACCCAGACAGCGCAGGAAGAAATCAAAGATCGCGACGGGAGGTTTTTCCCAGTTTTCGGCCTCTGGGGGCCCTCGCCGGGCCTCGGGACCTTCAAAAGATGATTCAGGATGACGAGCGGGTCCCGGGGAAAGGGTCGGGACTTCCCAGGGAGAGGGTCGGGACGACATCGGGCGTCTCGAAAAGGTACCCATATCTCTACTCTTCGACCGATTTCCCTTTTTGGGGTCTCCTGGGAGGCACTCGTCGCCACCGCTGGATTCGCTTCGAAATTCTGGTCAGAACGCACCCCAGGAGAGGTCCAGGGGGTAGCTGTATCGGTGCATTTTGGTTTCCCCAGATCGGGCAGTGGCGACCCAGACATTGGGCTCGAAGAAGAAAACATGATCGACCCACGAAACTGGAAAGGAATATAGAACTGTAACACATGGCAGCGTTTTCAAAGACACCTGATTGGGTGACGGGCAAATGCAATGTTGAGTGTATCGATCTTGATGTACCCTGCCGAGGGCTGTGCTGTGCTGCACCGTGCTGAATTGCGATGTGCCATGGCGCGACTGTGCTCTATAGCCTCGTGGATCGAGTCCTCCTTTGCATCCGAGTCCTGACCGAACTGATCTGGATCTTAAGCTCGCGCTGCCTGAACACATAGTAGCTGCCCCAGAGCTAATGGACAGGGGAACATGCCAGGAGGACGCGCCGCGAAACGTCCCAAAGGATGCGCCAGGCGACGTGCCAGGGGACGTGCCATGGGGTCGCACCGCGGGACGTGCCAAGGGGACGCGCTACAGAACGTGCTAATGGATGTGCCACGGGATGTGCCAGGGGACGCGCCACGCGACGTGCCAGGGGGACTCGCCAAGGGACGCCCCACGGAACGTGCCAAGGAACCTGCCAAGTTGCAATGCTGAGTGTATCGATCTTGATGTACCGTGCCGAAATCTGTGCTGTGCTGCGCCGTGCTGAATTGCGATGTGCCATGGCGCGATTGTGCTAGCCTCGTGGATCGAGTCCCCCTTTGCATCCGAGTCCTGACCGAACTGATTCGGATCTTAAGCTCGAGCTGCCTGAACACACAGTAGCTGCCCCAGTACTACTTGACAGGGGGACATGCCAGGAGGACGCGACGCGGACCGTCCCAAGGGACGCGCCAGGCGACGTGCCAAGGGACGTGCCATGGGGACGCACCGCGGGACGTGCCAAGGGGACGCGCTGCGGAACGTGCTGGGGACAAGCGTTTCGCTAGAGACATCCTGTCAGAACCCAAGGACATCCTAGCAAAACAAACAAATTAGTCGAGACGTCCTCAAAATTCCTGCGAGCGGGACGTGAAAACAAACATTGTGCCTGAGACATCTTCTGAATTCTGGCCCTCCAGGAGGCCCCCGCTCGAGATATCTTCCAATTTTGCAGAACCAGCGTTTCGCTCGAGACATCCTCAACAAGTTATGCAAAACAAGCGTTTCGCTCGAGACATCCTATCCTATGAAATCCTTGCAAAACAAGCGAATCAGTCAAGACATCCTCAAAATTCCTGCGCGCGGGACGCGGCACGCGCGAGACATCCTTTGAATTCTTGCGAGCGGGATGTGAAAACAAGCATTTCGCCTGAGACATCCTTTCAATTCTGGCCCCCCACGAGGCCCCCGCTCGAGGCATGCCCCAATTTTGCAAAACCAGCGTTTCGCTCGAGACATACTCATAAAACGTTTCGCTTTAGACATCCTGCCGAACTTAGAAATCCTTGCACAACAAACAAATTAGCCAAAACATCATCAAAATTCCTGCGCGCGGGACGCGGCACGCGCGAGACATCCTCTGAATTCCTGCGCGCGGGACGTGAAAACAAGCATTTCGTCTGAGACATTCTGTGAATTCTGCCCCCCCCCCACGAGGGCCACCGCTCGAGACATCCCCCAATTTTGTAAAACCAGTGTTTCACTCGAGACATCCTCAACTAATTATGAAGGAGGGGAGACACAGCGTTTCGCTCCAGACATCCGGCCAAAATCCCAGGAGACCCTTGCAAAACAAACGAATTAGCCGAGACATCCTCAAAATTCCTGCGCGCGGGACGCGGCACGCGCGAGACATCCTCGGAATTCCTGCGCGCGAGGCGTGAACAACAAGCATTTCGCCTGAGGCATCCTTTGAATTCTGGCCCTCCAGGAGGCCCCCGCTCGAGATATCTTCCAATTTTGCAAAACCAGCGTTTCTCTCGAGACATCCTCAACCAATTATGCAAAACAAGCGTTTCGCTCGAGACATCCTGTCAAAATCTCAAGAAATCCTTGCAAAACAAACAAATTGATCGAGACATCCTCAAAATTCCTGCGCGCGGGACGCGGCACGCGCGAGACATCCTTTGAATTCTTGCGAGCGGAACGTGAAAACAAGCATTTCGCCTGAGACATCCTCTGAATTCTGGCACCCCACGAGGCCACCGCTCGAGACATCCCCCAATTTTGTAAAACCAGCGTTTCGCTCGAGACATCCTCAAACATGATGGACCCACGAACCCTGAAAGAGATATATAGAGCCGCATGCATGGAAACGTTTTCACGACACCGTATTGGGCGACGGGCACTTCCACGAGACACCCCGCGAAACATTCCACGAGACACGGGCGACCGTTTTCAACGTTTCCTGGGAAACATTCCACGAGACACCCCGCGAAACAGTCCACGAGACACCCCACGAAACATTCCACGACGACAGGCAACCACTCAACCAAGGCGGTGTGGTTGTGCTGGGGAGTGGTCGTGCTGGGGTGTGGTCGTGCTGGGGGGTGGTCGTGCTGGGGGGTGGTCGTGCTGGGGGGTTAGTCGTGCTGGGGGGTGGTCGTGCTGGGGCGTGGTCGTGCTGGGGCGTGGTCGTGCTGGGGCGTGGTCGTGCTGGGGTGTGGTCGTGCTGTGGTGAGGTCGTGCTGGGGTGTGGTCGTGCTGGGTCATGGTCTTGCTGGGGTGGGGTCGTGCTTGGGTGGGGTCGTGCTGGGGTGTGGTCGTGCTGGGGTTTGGTCGTGCTGGGGTGGGGTCGTGCTTGGGTGGGGTCGTGCTGGGGTGTGGTCGTGCTGGGGTGTGGTCGTGCTGGGGTGTGGTCGTGCTGGGGTGTGGTCGTGCTGGGGTGTGGTCGTGCTGGGGTCATGGTCGTGGATGGATTCGTGCACCTGGAGAGGGCAAATCTACAGGCACATGCGTAAAAACACACGGGTTCGTGCACCTGGAGAAGGCAAATCTTTGGGGCGCCCAGATCCCTCAAGTTTTACAAAACAAGCGATTCGTTCGAGACATCCTCGGTAACTCTGCGGAGCAAGCGTTTCGCTCGAGGCATCCTCAACACACGAAAGAGTGGCCCGCACCCTGTGATTTATCGATCGGGATTTCAAAAACAAGCGTTTCGCCTCAGACATCCTCAAATTTAAATCCGCCAGCCCACCTCGACCTTGATATTTATCAGGGAAAGAATCAGCCGGCCCACCTCAGTTGAGGCACCGGGGACAGGTTTACCAACTAAAAGAAAACCCTGGGCCGGCGCCCTTTCCGAGACAACTTGTGAAAATCCAAGGGAATCCTTGCAAAACAAACGAATTAGTTGAGACATCCTCGAATCCTCGAAATTCCCGCGCGCGGGACGCGGCACGCGCGAGACATCCTCGGAATTCCTGGGCGCAGGACGTGAAAACAAACATTTTGCCTGAGACATCTTCTGAATTCTGGCCCCCCACGAGGCCACCGCTCGAGACACCCCCCAATTTTGTAAAACCAGCGTTTCGCTCGAGACATCCTCAACAAATTCTGAAAAACAAGCGTTTCGCTCAAGACATCAAAACAAGCGAATTAGTCGAGACATCCTCGAAATTCCTGCGCGCGGGACGCGGCACGCGCGAGACATCCTCGGAATTCCTGCGCGCGGGGCGCTTTTCCGCGTCGCGATCGCGTCACCTGACTTCGTTTTTTTCGTGGATTCTGTTAAAAGTGCCCCGATGAGGGGTCGACTTTCTTCGAGCGGGCACGCGCGAAACGTATTCTTTCACACCGAATTTGATTTCACTTTGTTTTAAATCTAGAATAATTCCGCCGGCCCTCTTCCGGGGGTGAGTAAACCTACTAAAACAGAACCCTGGGCCCGCGCCTTTTCCGGGAAAAACATATAAACATAAGTTTTTGGCGCTCCGCGCGGGTGTCTTGCATCCGCGCCTGGGCCCCATGGCGGCGCCTCTGGCGCCGCGCTCGAAGAAGAAAAAACATCATAAATATAATTGTTTGGCGCCCCGCGCGGATGTCTTGGATCCGCACTTGGGACCCCCCGGCGGCGCCTCCAGTGCCGCCCCTGGCGCGCTCCGCGCGCCAGGGAGGGGGGCCCAGGCGCGGATCCAAGAAATCCGCGCGGAGCGCCAAAAGTAAATGTTTATTTGGTTTTGTTCTTTTAATCCAGCAGTGGCGACCCAGACATCGGGCGTCTCGAAAAACATGATCGACCCACGAACCCGGAAAGGAATGTAGAAATGTAACGCATGGCAATGTTTTCAAAGACACTTGACTGAGTGACGGGCAAGTGCAATGCTGATTGTATCGATCTTGATGTACCGTGCCGAGGGCTGTGCTGTGCTGCACCGTCCTGAATTGCGATGTGCCATGCCGCGGTTGTGCTCTATAGCGTCGTGGATCGAGTCTTCCTTTGCATCCGAGTCCTGACCGAACTGATCTGGATCTGAAGCTCGAGCTGCCTGAACACATAGTAGCTGCCCCAGAGCTAATTGACAGGGGGACATGCCAGGAGGACGCGCCGCGAAACGTCCCAAGGGACGCGCCAGGCGACGTGCCAAGGGACGTGCCATGGGGTCGCACCGTAGGACGTGCCAAGGGGACGCGCTACGGGACATCCTCAAAATTCCTGCGCGCGGGACGTGGCACGCGCGAGACATCCTTGGAATTCCTGCGAGCGGGACG